TAAATAGATTACAAACCAAATAGAAAGTTTTAGAATACTTAAAAAGTGGTTCTCATCTAACTTCCGAATTACCTCGCTGATTACCAAATTACTTTACCGTCTTGTAGAAAAGAAGGTATAGTTTTTAAATATTTATATCACAACCTCTGCGAATTCATATTCGTGGCTGCGAATCAATTCTTGTGACTATCGTGATGGAAAATCGTTACTTTAATAATACTTTAATATGACAAGATGATCTACAAAAATCAGCCAATCACAATAAAAGTTCGCTATGCTATTCTCATAAGTAATTGCTGTTAATTCTAATCTCATCAATAAGTAATCGCCCATCACTATACACACATTATGATATTGTTATTGTTCAATACTGTTACCAGGTAGGTCTCAGCAAATTCTGTTCACACCCATAGTAAATACGTAGTTTATTATAAGGATTGCTAGAGTGTCCAACATAGGGATGGCAACAGTCGGTTATTTTCGGCTTAGCCGACCAGCCAAGCTGTGGCTAGCCGCAAATAACCGACCGTGGCCATCCCTAGTCCAACAGCAGAGACAGTGCCCGAACCAGAGTGAATCCCTCTCTCCTGTGATCAATCACAAATTAAATTATTTATATTGGGTTCAATTGTGATGAATATAATCCCTCACCAGTTTTAATATATGTGTAACATTAACGGTCTCTGCTGTTAGAATGTCCAGCTTACTGCCTGCACAGAATCTGCACAAATAGGGGCTTTGCAGTAGAAAAGGCCTAAATGCTATATATAATATATAGAGCATTTAAGCCTTTTCTACTGCAAAGACCCTAAATACGTACAAATTCTGTTCGAAAAAAAAACCTGAATAAGCAGTAAGCGGAAAAGCAAAACACTATAAAGGTAAAGGTAGCTATGGCGATACAAAGATGGAAGGTAAATGATGATACCAATATGGAAGTGAGATTCATAGATTATCGGTTACGATATTCAAACAAATATGCTAAACAATAGGGTCCGGAATCGGGCCGGGCTACCCAGGGCCCAGACTGATATTTTTAGGCCTGTAATTACGGTTGTTGCTCAATTCCCCGAAAGCTATTTACCCGACAGGCCACTTACCCGACATCACATAGGGTTAGGGTTAACATTTTATTAGCTGTAGGTATATATTTTTAGCAATTTGTCACCCTTGTGATGTCGGGTAAGTGGCCTTTCGGGTAAATAACTTTTGGGGAATCATACCGAAACCGTAATTACAACGGGCCGGGCTTAATAAAAATCTACAAACTTCAAAAAACCATTATAGCTATTATCATACAGCTGTGTTTTCATAATTTCTGAAACACCTGATAAAAATCTGCCGAATGATTTTTCGGCCGTTCCAATTAAGTTATTGATTTCGGCATGATCGATACATAACGATAAATTACAATTCTTGTTGTTATATAAAACATATAGATTACATTGTAATTTGAAATATATATGTTGCTGGGCAAGTATTTAAACGTAAATTTAGTAATATTGAACATGTCGACATTTATAATATTAAAATTATCATAGAAAAGTATCATATATAATGCATGTCTTTTATATATAGGGATATATGGGGTGGAAATTTTAGAGATAGTAAAAAAACATTTTTCACTATTTTAAAACATGTGATGCTGTGGTCAGATTATATTAAATTTTAAAACTCAGCATATCAAGATTATAAACATCACAGTTTTAAAACGGTATAAAATATTTTTTTATCATCCCTAGGAAATTTGCGTGTAAATTTCTGATATGTAATTTTTGTTATGTAAATAACATTGTCCAGAACTTTTATAGAGCTGGCACACAAAAGTCTAATAAATGCTGGCAAAAGTTTTGTAATGCAGATCAATAATCATGTGCCACTTAGGATCATGTGAATAATTTGGGCCAAAATTTTTGTAAAGCTAACATAAAAATAAATGTAAAATTAAAGTTCTGAACACAATGATGGATATCTATTAATGCCAGAAAAACTTTTATAATGCTAGTACAATTATTATGTGACAATGCGCTATATATTGTAAAGTTACATTACAGTTTCGTAAGTTACAATGTAATTTCATGTAATGAAAATGTAATTTTGTGTAATACGTTTCTTACAAAACCATTTTACCGAAATTTACACAAGATTACGCAAAATTACAGTAATTTTAAAGTTTGTCAGCACTATAAAAGTTTTGGTCAACGTTATTTATAAACAAAAATCACATATCAGAAACTTAAATGTAAAAAATTTCTAATATATAAAAGACATATGATACTTTGTTCTAACAGATAATTTTAACATTGTAAAATGTTGACACATTCAATATTACCAAATTTTCATTTGAATATATATGTGTAATCTATACGTATATATGAATGTAATTTGTAATAGTTATTTACTGCAAAATCAGAGATATTATCAGGGCCCCACGGCGGAGCCGTGGGGCCCTAAAAGTTATCAGCGATTTGAGCAGTAAATAACTGATATATTTCCCGGTTACTAACACCTGTGATTAGATAAAATCATGTGTTACAGATATGTTACTATTAGTAAAAATTAGACTTTTACATTAATGAAAAAATATAAATAAATAAATAAAAAAAAAGATCAGTATACTTTTGCTTCTTTTTAAAAACTACAATGGATCCAAATAAAACCGTACAATTCAATACCACTAGTGAACTTCTAAATAATCCAAGTTTACAGTTTAAAATATCTAAAAGTATTGAAATTGAGAAAGCAATTTCATTTTATCAAGATAAGTCACGTGTCAACAATACGGAAAAGGCGACAAAAAACTGGCTAGAGCATTTTGAAAAGTTTCGAAAAAGTATGATAAAAGTTTATCCACATAACGAAAACTATAAAACTGAATTAAAATCTATTTCTGAGTTATTAATACTAGATAATCAAGTAGCTGCCTATGTTGCTACTATGAAAAAAAGATGGTACTGAATATAAAGCTTTATCTGTACATCAATCTGTTGATGGTATCAATCGCTATTTAATGGAATATTCGATTATTCGTGATATTAATTTATGTAATCGTCATCAATTTCCAAATTTATTAAAAGTCCTTGATGGAAAAATAAAAGAATTACAAGATAAAGGGCTTGGCGAAATAAAAGGATCTGCAGCTTTAACTTAACAAAATATCTCTGATATTTTATTACATTTAGCAATATCGATATTAACACCTGATACTCTTATTAAAAGAGTATTTTTTCATAATGTATTTCTTTTAGCCTGTCGGGTGGTAAATATTATAATTTAAAAATCGATCAATTTAATTTTCGTGATGATAGTGAAATCGATTTTCAGAGATTTCAAGCAAAAAATAATTAGCGTGAAGTTATAGGCGATGCAGCACAAAAAGTACCAATTCTAGCAAATTCACCTAATTCTAGAGGATCATACTATGATTATCATCTTTATTTCGAAAAAAGACCATTAGATGCTAACCAGGAATTTTATTTACAAACAAATCCTAAATGTATATATTTATGTTCATAAGTTGTTTTTTTTATAATATTA